AAGCAGAAATGAACAAAATCGAATTGTTGAAAAAGATAGAAATTACTTTGAATGATTAAAAATCAGAAAAAAACTTTTAGAAGGCAAAAAAAAAAGTACACTAAAATAACAGAGGATCATGTTAAATAAGTATTTATCAGTAAAATTAATTTACGTGGGAAAAATAGCAGAAATGAAAAAAAGAGATCATCGCCGATTTGAACTCGCAGAGACACGATTGCTTTACGGTGTAAATGAAGCGAAGCGCTAACCGACTGTGCTACCGGGACCCGTAGCGAAAAATGAAAATAGGCAACAATAATGAATGGGAGGACGAAAAAGTAATTTTTTCACTCGCATTTTTTTTTACTCGCCAAAGTTACTGATTTCCCCTGTTTAAGGCAGAATTTTTTTAGTGTAACCCTTGAGTTAGATGTGGTCGAAGGCGAAACAGGTCAACTGTCTTTGGCGCAAAGCTAATTTTCGACGCCAATGTTTGGCTAAATGTAAAATCGCGTATTTTAAATTATTTTAAAAATCATTACCTTCATTTTAAGGGCATAATTTTTACGTTAATGCTCTCAAACATCACCAACTATTTGCAAAAATAACGTACTTTGAAATAAAAAATGTGCAAATTACTACTTTTTAATTTATTTCTCAGAAAAACGTAAGTTTACGAAAATCACAATTTTTTTTAAATCCGTAATTTTGAAGCAAATTTTTCAATCTTCGTATATGTTACGGATAATATTACTGTACACACGGAAAAAGGTTTTGTGAGATTACCTTCATAAATAACGAAGTTATTCAATGTGAAGTAAAAATTGGGACTACTTTTTAAAATTCTTTAAAAAAAAGTTTTGGTAATTTTATTTTTTAAAGAATGGATCTAAAAGAGAAAGGCTTGAAGTTAATTAGTGTAGAATATCGATTTAATAACACGAAAAGTAATTCATACTCAACGATTTAGAATAATTTTCATAAAAACGCATCAGTTTTAACACTATTTTAAAAAATTCGAAAAAATAGAAAATATCGTTATTTTACAACAAAAAAAATTATACCGTATCGTGCGACATAAATGATCTTTCCGATTCTGTAACTATTTTTTGTCTGTTTCCACAGCGCTAATTGGATGGCAATTTTAATATGGTGGAAAACGTCGAATCACCGCTCGGCCGAAACGGAACGGAAGTTCTGCAAGTAAACAACCGGCAGGAGTAAAACAATTGGCGTTTTAAGGTTTTTAATTAATATCTTTATAACTAATTACAATATTGGAATATAAATGGGCAATACGGCTTCCCCAGAAAATTCCGATCTTTGGTACCTTCCACGACTTCCTGCGTCGTACGGTTCGTGAGAAGATAGACGCACATACATACATAGATAATAGATAGATAGATAGATACGTTTGTTACCTTCGAATTTTAATAGTGTAGATAATCCTCAAGATCCACTTGATTTGTAATTTAAGAATTACACTGAGTATCTATAAATGCAAAACCAAACATAATTAACATTTCAAAAAACAAAATTTTATTTTAAAATTTTGTAATTAATTATTTAAACTTTCTGTAATTTGTGCACAAAAAATGTATAATTTTCAATAAATTTAAATATACAATACAGAAAAATTATAGTCTTTGTACAGAAAATTAGTTTTCTTACAATACATATTATACAAAACAGATTTTGAAGAAAGTGTACCTAGATCAGAGTTACATCACATTTGCTTAAAATTTTAAAATCAAATTTTCTAGCTTGTTTTTTTATCGAAATCTCACAAATAATGCATTTATGCATGTAGCAAAATTCCCACTACTTTTAAAAGTCAAAAAAAAAAAAAAAAAATGAAGCATTTTTCCGTCTCAGTTACCTTGATCAAATTTTTTGAATATGATTGAGAATCAATATGTGTATAAAAATCAGGATATTTCCTATTGACTTGATATTGCTAACCACCAATTTCTTTAGTGCACTGCAAGAATACGAATATAAAATGAGTTCAATGTGCAAAATATGAAACCAAATAATTCAAAACTATCTTTTATTAATAAATATTTTTACGATTCTCAGTTTAAAGAAACAGCGTAAACTTTTGCAAATATGCTTAAAAGATTTCAGAGAATGCTTCAGTTTTTGAACGTTAATGACGCCGTATATAAACTGTATTAAGTAAGACTGTAAACTGGGGGGGGGGGATCGAGCAATACTCTGCTGTCATTTATTGCGCTTTTTGGCACTGTTCCATAAAAACTTCACCATTTGCGTATGGCATTCAATGCCAGAGTGTATGAAATTTTGAGTGTAAAATGCCAGTTATGAACATTTCACTCTGTCAATCAAATTGACAGTGTGAAATGTTCAGAACTGGCATTTTACAGTTCTACAGACGTGGGATTTTTAATAACCTAAAAAAGAAATTATGTTATAATCTGTTGTTCCGTGATGTTTATCGTCATGACGATTGGAAATGACTACAAACTATTTCTTTTAACCATTTTTTGTGTAAATTCGCAAATTGACATTGAATTCACTTACTCATTTTTTGTTATAATTCTCTCATTCGTCAATTTGTCCCAGAAAGAAATATAAGATGAATCACGTGAAAGTTGAAAGATATCAAATTCAAGAGTCACGCTATTTGGATAAATGAATATTTTCAGCTCTTGAGTTTATTTTTGAGAGGAGTTGCTCGAACTTAAAAGTATCAGTCATTCATATATCATTTATATCATTTCAATTCCTACTATTAGTTCACACACTATATATATATGTATATATATATATATATATATATGGGAATTTCCACATAGACCACACTCTAGAGGGCGCTGCGACGCAAGCAAACTGGGCAGAGAGGGAGATGAACGAGTGAGCGGTCTCGACTAAGAGGTCTGAGAATCAACGCTGCTGAAAAAGGCAACAACCGGGTACTGGCCGAGAAGGGACCAGCTATCCTATGCCAGAAGTGGTGTGACGCGAAGGTCACTCATGCTTCACCTGAATTCCATAAACTTCCATAAACATCGTTGAACTACGTGTGTTACCATTGTGAACTGTGGTATGATAAGTATGAATACAAGACTGAGAAACCATTGTTGAATGAAAGAAGAAGGACTTGTCTAAACGTTATTAATCATATATCTGTATAGTAGTGTGTAGTCCTGTAACAAGTGTCCACATTAAACGTTAGTCTTAGTCAGAAACAGTGTAGTCAATTTAAATACCCCTAGAACTCCGTGCCATATCCCCACACATATATATATATATATACTGGTGTGCAAAAATTAAGGACGAGACGGTTTTTCAATATAACTTTGTACAAAAGCATTCCAAATCAACACATTTAATACCGTAAGATCCCCAATACGTAAGGACATGAGTAATGTAAGCAACACTTACTAAAGAGAAATCAGAGGGACAAAAAGAAGCTTTATTGAAAAGTAGCATGGAGCGCAATGCGACTGAAGGCCGAAACATCCTGTGATGGGTGTCCAGCAAGAAATATCCGGTCTTTAGTAGGGGATATGATCTCCCCTGACTGCTAGGCAGGTTTCACAGCGTCTGCCCATGCTGAGAATGAGGGTGTCAATGAGTTGCTGAGGCATTGCTGCCCATTCGTCTTGCAGCGCCAATCGAAGCTCCGTAATCGTTACTGGTGGTAAGGTACGAGCTGCCAAGCGTCTGCCTAGAAAATCCCATACATGCTCGATGGGATTGAGATCCGGAGATCGTGCCGGCCAATCCATACGTTCAATATCCTCACTCTCTAAGAGCTGTTCGGCAGCTACTGTGCGATAACATGGTGCATTGTCGTCCATGAAAAGGAACTGCGGACCATAGCGCCTCTAAAAAGACGCACATATGGAAGAAGAATCTCGTTACAATAATGGGTCCCATTGACTGAACCTGCGTCGAAGATATGAAGGTCTGTACGACTACCAAGCATGATGCCTCCCCAAACGAGAACACCGCCACCTCCATACCTGTCCCTTTCAATGATGTTCGAGGGATGATTGCGGCTTCCCCGCTCTCTCCAGATGAGTATGCGATGAGAATCGCTACTCAGACTGAATCTGCTCTCATCTGTAAAGAGTATTCGTCTCCATTCATTGTCTCTCCAATTCCGGTGTTCCCGGCACCACAGAGAACGCCTTCTCCGATGGGCAGGCGTTAGAGGTACACACCGTACAGGGCGTCGTGCAAACAGACCACCACCGTGCAGTCTTCTGGCCACGGTAAAACGCGATATCGGTCGTCCAGTCTCCTGTGTCGTGTGTCTAGCGATTTCTCCCGCTGTCTGCCGCCTGTTTTTTCTGGCCTGTAAGGCAATATACTGGTCATATGCGGGTGTGGTTCCTCGTGGACGACCACTACTGAACCCCGGATAGCTGTTCCTGTAGTTTGAAATTGTCTCCAAAGCCGTGAAACGATGCTGTGAGCAATTCCGAACTCTGCAGCCACACTTGTCACACTGCGACCTTCTTCCAACTTCCCAATGATTCGACCTGGGGTAAAAGCATCCAGATGTCGTCTAACAGATTGATTATTCGCCATTTCTCGCTGAGGCAGCAACTCGTGTGATTTTAACTGCTATACGGTGTGTAATCTCTTTGCCAGAAATACTAATCTTACACCGACAACATGCTTTACTACTCAGACACTCCCCCATTACGTCTACCTGCATATCTGCGCATGTGCTACCGTACATCACCTCACTTAATCTCCTGATTGGTCTTTCTGTCCGCTCTGCCTCTTCGTTCAGCTGATACGTTAATTTTTCGACTTCGTCCTTAATTTTTGCACACTAGTGTATATGTCTTGTCACAAATGTTCAATCGTTGATAAAATCATTTTATTCATCCACTCAAGTTCAAAAACATTTTTTAAACTTGTTGTAAATACAGTTTTTTCAAATATTGATTCATTCATTCTATTTAATTACTGAATTCATTATAACAAACAAAAATAATAGTCCAAAACTATATTTAAAAAGGAAAGCCGCTCGTTGTGTCTCTGTAGTGCAATGAATAGCGCTTTGAACTATTTATTCAAAGGTCGTGGGTTCAAATCCTACCTGGGATGGCATAATTTCTGAGGAAGGGATTTCTCTTAACCATACTATTTCATCGGAATAATTTAAGTAATAAATAAATAGTAAAAAACTATATAGACCAACACACCATATATAGAAAGGAAAATCTATTTTGCCACTTAATATTGTGATTCTATTATATGTATATACATATTTATATGAATTGTAATTATTAATAAAAAGTAACTAAAATTTTTTTTTCTCCGTTGACCTGAGTACAAGCTGACGTATTTTTTTTTTTATATATATTACTTGTTACATAATAAAATGATCTAGGTACACATTAAATAATTATTGAACACAAGAAACTCACATTCAATCACATTTCTATACACATTACTTATTTTATATCAATATTAAAAATTAAGTAACATAAGAATACCTTCAAATATTTTCATTGGATATATCTATTTCTGTTAAAGCAAATAAAAAAGACATGCCAAAACTGGAAATATTTTGATACAAAAAAATTTTATTTAATGATTTAGATTAACTCTTTTGTGAAAGTCAGCATTTTTGTAACATTTCAGATAATTTGGTGGCCTATTAAACAGGCACCGTAACAATAATAAATTCCCCAATCTGCATCCAATACTTCATCCGGATTTAACAAGCAAGCATTGTTAAATCTATCTACATAATTTTAGGTATTACTGTACATAATATTTGCTTTGATAAAAACGGTATATTAAAGTAAATCGCTCCTACTTTAATTTTCTGTTGTTATACTCATTTTAATGTGAACTGTGTGTGCGAGTGACTGAATTTTCTTATATGAGTACACACATGGACACATAACAGCCATGTTATCTAAGAATAATGAGTTATTAATATGAGTATATGTATTCAGTAAAGTTTGTATAAGAATTAAGCATTCTACGTATTTGAATAGCTCATGTTCATTTAATATCTTCAAATACGTATATATTTCATACCCACATAAAATTTCGCTTAGTAAGAATATTTATTTACAGGTGTAATCTATCTTGTCTAAGTAGGGAGGAAATTAGTATTCATTTTATTATTTGGAGTAAAAAAAATTCTACATTAAATAAAAAGACGCATTTATTTTATTGCAGAAATTTTTGTGCTACAATGTGGCCTTCAAATTTTTGTTTCAAATACTATAAAACAATTCTTTACATAATAACATGTACCCCATTTTTTTAATAATGACCATTGTATTCGTAAGATCCTTACACACTTAATTTGTTACAAAACTCTCTTGCTTATTTAACATTAATCGCACTTTTTAATATTCTTGTCATTACAGGTCTCCTCTATTTCACTGTAATTATTTTTAATTCAAATACGCATATTTTGTATCAAGTATGTGCTAGAAAATGTATGATTTAAGAGACAAATTGTGAACATGAAAAATTTCTTATTCAGGTTAGGTCACACTATAAAGCAACATGCGGGCAATTGCGGATAGACCTCATTATTTTGAACTTCGGTCAAGTGACGGGGACGACACCAGAGCTGGCACCTCTTGCCCAGAATACCACACTACACCAACGGGAGGACTTTGAGCCTCGACATATTTGAGGTGCATCAGACCTTCTATATGGCATATCTTCAGTGGCACTTGGACATGAACTCGAGAAAAGCCGGCTACTAGTTCGCGATCATAACCACTAGGCTACTGCTGCCAACTTATTAGGGTGAGTGAGTGATTGAATATTAATATCATACTATTCAGCTACACGAAGGCTTTTGGCGATGCACCTCGTAATTTTGAACCATGGTCAAGTGACAAGGACGACATCTGAGTGCCAACGGAGTTTTGTCAAAAATGTTATATTTGGGAATTTTTATATTATTTGTCTCAAATTTGAATTTTAATCTTCTTATAATGGAAGGTATGAAAAAATATTAACTGTTGTAAACCTTTTGTTGTGGTATTCCTTCCATTTTGATCAACAGATAACGCCCAGTGGGTTCCAGACATGGAACTTGAGTGGTGTGCTACATGAGTCGAAATAGCTCGTTTAAGATGCTGACTAAGCGTTACAATAAAACTTTTGTTTTTGAGAAATTTACGTATATACTGTATAGTATTGGGAACACAGTGTTCTGATACCCATTTTTACCTTTTTAGTTAAATTTCATTATTCATTGATTTTAATTGATTAAATGCGTTTTTTTTTAAAAATATTAACATTTTTTTCATATACACACTTTCATTTTCCTCATTCATATCATTCACACTTTTTCCATATTTCGATAAATTTCAGTATAATTAATCTGAGTAATAAGTGGAATACCTAGATTTAGTAATAAATTAAAATTACTTAAGAAGTTGTTAGCTTACGTTTTACAATACCAAGGTAGATAATGTATTCTTACAACATAAATTTAAGTGCAAAATTAAAATGAGGCAAAGCAATACATTAATCTAAATGCATATCGGACATTTTTCAATTACTAGTAAGTATTAAGTGTTTTATACGTAAAAATGAAAGGTCTTAAATCTTTTCAATTTTATAGTATTCTCATAGTATTTATTTAATATACCATTAAAAATTATTAAATTATCTTCTTTCAAGATTCGCTTGACTCTTTTATTTTCATTTAAGATTACGGATTGTATTGTATAAATTTTGTTTAATATCCTAAAATCAGGGCTGTTTGAAATTGAAATGAAAAAATCAATTTCCAGAAATGTTTTGATTAAAATAAATAATACCATTGAATATTACGTTACAATTCATTTCTGAGAAGGTTATGAATTTTGACTCAATTAAATTTTTGTTACTTAATTCACGTCAATTGTAATTTTCGTTCAGCTGTAGATTTGCCCATTGCTACAAAACGAAAATGTTCGAATTTTTACTTGTATATTCCTTGAAAATAAAAGTTATAATTTTACGAAATTTAAAATTCTTTTTTTCAGAAATCCACGGACAAAATAGAAGACCAGAAAAAAAGCAATTGGAATCATTTATGTATATATTGTGTTGAGAATTAAATTTTATAAATGATATAAAAACATAATAGGGGGGGGGATATTATAGCAATAGCAACATTTGGCAATAAGGGTATAAGACAAATAATTTACATAGATTTGAAACATTCGCATAGAAAACTATGAGTAAAATCACAATATTGCATTTATCATGTGGTTGTGACGTCACACGAATTTAGCCTTTTGAGATATTTTACAAAAGATTTAACGTAAAGTAATATCTTATAATCTTGCAAATAATTTGTTTTCAAAGAATTTTTTAACTCTCTAGATATGGGTTTCAAAATCATTGTATGCGTTTTTTCACGATGTACAAGAAAAATAATTATTTTTTTAAAAATAAAGTTCTTTTAAAATTAAATTATTCTTATGTGCGTTGACTCAAATGGAGAAGACTTCATAAAATCTGAATATAATAGAACATCATCCGTTTCTTTTTCCTTTTTAATTATTAAAACTTTCATAAGGCTACTGGGTGGTGTAGTAGATCAGGCACTGGTCATATGCGCCCAAGTTTGCGGGTTCGACCCCACCAGAAGTCAGAGGGTGTTCATGATGTTGAAAATCGTCAGTGTCCATGTCGTATGGTTATACAGCATGTTTAAGGTCTACAGAATGCCTGTTTGGCTTGGGTGTTTTAGGGAAAAATTAAATTCCAAGAATTCTTCGCATCGTCGAATCTCAGGTGCAGTGTAATTTTAACAACTCGTTAAAATTACATCGTGGCAATTGGTATACAATTATATAGCGCCACACTAAAGAATGATATTAGCTTTCGGGAATTCACTGGATCTGAAATGATTATTGCCTATCCACAGTGCCGTTTGAAAGGAAAAAAACTAGTCAAATAATAGAAACTAAAATGATTAATTGGTTTCTATTGAATAGCAGAATGGAATGAACATGCTGTTTTCTTAATAGTATTGACCACTAATTTGCTTAGTTACCCAAACACTATGTGTGATTCGGAACAACAAAATTTTCTGTATTTAAATCATTTGGCTTATATTTGGAAATCATGTGTTTGAAATATAATTTAAAATATTCATTTAATTTGAATAAATGTCACTCCTAAGAAATGTAAGGACTATTGATGAAAGACCTCTTAAAATCTCACCTAGTTCCAGTAATGAAAGTAATTTCTAAATTACTTGTTCAGCTTTTAACTTTAATACCACACCATTTGAGGTCATTAAAGCCGAACTTGTATTCAAGAGTAACTTCTCCTTTAATATCATTTGTTGGTCTGCGGATAGAAATTCTTGACTCGAAAGCCAGTGGTGTAACATACACCCCCACAACCCCCTTGTCAGGGGGGACTAAACCTGACTAACAAAAAGTACGTATTTAACCATTGTATAAAATACAAAAGGCAAAACCTGACCTTTCAGGGTGTACCTAATATTCTCCGTTACGCCACTGTCGAGAAAATAAGTGCAGTGGCCTCTAGTAACACGGTAATTGAAATTTTTCTATGATAAAGATTAGTTCTTTAAAGATAATTAAGTAATAGTGTATATGATTCAGTTTCTTTTCAAACGTATTTCTATAATTATAAATCTTCCTCTAAAAATAGAGGGGGGAGTTGCTATTATTCTATTAAGATGTAAATAATTTTATAATGTATGTCCTCCCTCTTCTTTAAAAACATTGATTATTAACACCCTTTTATAAGCTTCATTTCTATGTAGCGGAATATTTGAACTAAGTTTTTACCCTCCTTAAAAGGTCAGCTTGATTCGAATTTTTGCTCACTTGTCCAGTAGCTGTGACAATGCAATAATTTAATAATTTTGTTCCCTTGTCCTGATCAGAATCATCAAGATTAACGATTTCCCATTTTCCGATCGCATCCCGCATCTGGCGACTCATTTCAGATCCCATTTCCAGATTTGGTGACTAAAAGATTTAGTTACAACTTAATTAGATTAATTATAAAAGGGGTTTCTTAGTTTTTAATTTAGTTACTGTAATTTATTTATTTTTTATTTTTTAAGTAAAGTGCTCTTTAAATTTATACGG